CCAAAAGGATGCAGAATTGAGCATCGGTCAGCGTGCTCCGCTGTGGTAGGCCACGGCCGACACGTTGGAATGCACCACAGGACTCGAACGCTCCAATTTGGGTCTTACGCTTTCGCGGGATCATTAGTAGAGATACTGCTGACCATTACTCACGGTGGCTGTGTTTGCATACCATCCGAAGAGCAGCGAAGAAGTGATCTAGCCTTGGCTATCTCTAGGATGAGAATAAACTGGGCATTCCTCACTTCAACTGTCCTTGATCTCCTCAGGCCTGAGGCAGTGCCATCACTAACTACATTATGTGTCGGTGGAGAACCAATACGAATCTCTCAGATCGCACAATGGGAAACCCGAGTACACCTGCGGCAAACATACGGAAGCAGCGAGATGTCTGGTGTTGTCTCATCCCTAAGACTAAATAATACGTCCTCGACCAAGGATGTAGGCCGAGCCAGCACTGGCATCTGCTGGATTGTGGATCCAAATGACCACAGCAAGCTTGCTCCAATTGGAGCCGTTGGCGAGGTGCTCATTGAAGGAGCTATTCTTGGCCGGGAGTACATTGACGAGCCAGACAAGACAGCCTCTACTTTTATTGAAGCTCCAGCATGGAGAGGCTCCTTTGGAGCAAACATAAACCAACCACGTCTCTATAAGACCGGAGACCTGGCGAGATACAAGCAAGACGGGTCAATTGAGCTGCTGGGGCGAAAGGACAACCAAGTGAAGCTGCGCGGGCAGCGTATCGAACTAGAGGAGATAGAGCATCAAGCCAAGCTTGCAAGCACATATGTGAAGCAGATCGCGGTTGAGCTTATCCGGCCTCAGGAGGATGAAGATGGTATGCTGGCTTGTTTCATTGTAGTCAACGATAGTACGGATCCCCCCGCACACGAGGACGAAGAACAAGCTGCGCTGCGAACGCATACACAGAACGCCATACAAGCAGTGCAGGCTAGGTTAGAGGAATGGCTACCACAGTACATGGTACCCTCCGTGTTCATTCCGGTACCAGGTTTGCCGGCGACCTCATCAAGGAAGATTGACAGGAAGCGATTGCGAGAGATTGGAGCCTCATTCTCAGCCCAACAACTGGCGGAGATGCGGGCAATAAGCCAAGGGCCGAAGCGGCTGCCATCGACGCAGACGGAGCAGACGTTGCAGCAGCTGTGGGGGCAGGCACTGCAGATCGAGCCCCAGAGCATTGGCCTGGACGACAGCTTTTTCCGTCTCGGCGGTGACTCGATCATGGCTATGGAGCTAGTCGGCGAAGCTCGCAGGATAGGAATGCACCTGAGCGTGGCTGACATATTCCGCAACCCTACACTCGCTGACTTGGCTAGCTTAGACTACAGCCACAGTGGCAATACTGCCGAAGATATCCTTCCCTTTTCTCTGTTGGGTGAAGAGGTGGACGTGGCCACCGTCCGCAAGGAAGCGGCCGTCAGCTGCGGCGTTGATGCAGGCCTCGTCGAGGACTTGTACCAATGCTCGCCGCTGCAGGAAGGGCTGGTGTCGCTGACGTCCAAGCGAGCGGGCGACTACATCATGCAGAGCGTGCTGGAGCTACGGGATGAGATAGACGAAGAGACTTTCCGAGCTGCCTGGGAGTATGTCTTCCGCTCAATGGCAGTGTTGCGTACCCGGATCGTGCAGAACAGCAAACTTGGTTTGCTACAGGCCGTGATAGCAGAGGGTATCCGGTGGCGCGAGGCAGAAGAACTAGAGGAGTACCTTGAGAAGGACAAGTCAGTGTCCATGGGGCTCGGCGAACCCCTGACACGCTACGCCATTGTCACAGAAAGGAAAGAAGAGAAACGCTGGATAGTGTGGACAATTCACCACGCGTTGTACGACGGCTGGTCGCTCCCTCGAATCATAGATGCGGTAACTAAGGCGTACACCGAGGGCATGATAGAACCGCAGCCTAGCTTTCACGCCTTCATCAAATATCTCAACCAGCAAGACCAGGAGATCACGGCGCTGTATTGGCAGGACGCTCTCTATGGCTGCCAGGCAACACTATTCCCGCCCCTACCGTCAGCGGTTCAGCAGCCGGTTGCGGATGCGATGATAGACTATCAATGCCCTCCACTTCTCAAAGCACCATCAGACACGACGACATCGACGCTTGTCCGCGCCGCTTGGGCCATCGTCGCTAGTCGATACACGAACTCGGATGATGTGGTGTTCGGCACTACAGTCACAGGACGTAATGCTCCTGTTGATGACATTGAAGCCATGATTGGGCCTACTATTGCAACCGTGCCAGTGCGAGTGCGAGTGGCTGGTGATCAGACTGTATCTGCCTTCCTCCAGGGATTGCAGCAGCAGGCGACGGACATGATCCCGTACGAGCAGACAGGACTGCAACGGATTGCCAAGATGTCAGCAGATGCGCGGCATGCTTGCGGTTTCCAGACATTGCTGGTTATACAGCCTATAAACGATGCGCCTGGCAGCGATCGGGTGCTAGGAGAGTGGCATGACCACTCCGAGCCGCAAGACGTCTCGACCTACGGGCTAATGCTGCAGTGCACGCTGGCGGCAGACGGGATACGCATCACAGCAAGCTTTGACAAGCGCGTGGTGGAGGAGTGGCTAGTCAAGAAGATATTGAGCCAGTTCAGCTTCATCATGCAACAGTTGGCCAAAGCACAACCAGGCGACAAGGTAGCTAACATGGACCCGCTCACGCCGGAGGAGAGAACAGAGTTGTGGGCGTGGAACCACGAAACTCCAGCAGCGATAGAACGGTGCATTCACGACCTGTTCGCAGAACACGTCCAGGAACAGCCCGACGCGCCCGCCATCTGCTCGTGGGACGGCGAGTTGACATACGACGAGCTGGATGCGCTGTCCACTAGACTGGCAAGCCACCTCGTTGGGCTGGGTGTCAAGCCAGAAGACATTGTGCCACTGTGCTTTGAGAAGTCCATGTGGACCGTGGTCGCGATGCTAGCGGTGCTCAAGGCGGGCGGAGCATTTCTCCTTCTTGACTTATCTTTGCCCCACGAACGTCTGAAGTCGATGTGCAGCAGAGTGTCTGGTACTCTTGCCCTAGCATCCCAAGCTGCAGTACCAGTTGCGGAAAGCTTGGTCGGAGCTGTCCTGATTGTCACCGAAGATTCAATGGTGCAGCTCGCTCAACACGCTTCTCGGACCGCCACAGTACAACCCACAGATACGGCCTATGTTATCTTCACCTCTGGAAGCACAGGAGAACCAAAAGGATGCAGAATTGAGCATCGGTCAGCGTGCTCCGCTGTGGTAGGCCACGGCCGACACGTTGGAATGCACCACAGGACTCGAACGCTCCA